ATATGGCGAGTGGTTTCTGGGCGATTCAGATGACAGAGCGGGCGAAAATGATTTCGGCCTTTGTCTGCCCGTTTAGACGTTTTCAGTGGATCCGGATGCCTTTTGGACTCAAGAACGCGCCGTTAGTGTACCAGAGTGTGATTAACAACTGTCTCTGAGGATTCGTGCGGCTCACAGCCGGAGAGGAGGCTAAGGTCGACCGAGATGTCCTGGAATTTCTGGAGTTGACTGTCCCAGACACAGGACCGACGATTGAAATTCCTCAAGGCGAAGGTAGCTTCAAATTTGCCGAGTTGATGAAGGAGGCGACTGCGTTCAGGCGGAACATTCCGACCCCAACGCAGATGGGACCAGTCCTGGGGCGAAGCTCTTACATAGATGACATAGCTCATGGGGCGCCTACCTGGGACGAACTCTGTGAAGACCTTAATGCCCTACTATTTCGACTCCGGTACTGGAATATCTCGGTTAGTCTTCCGAAGAGCGGATTCGGCAAACAAGCTATACCATACCTGTCTCACGGAGTCTGTGCTGAAGGTATCAGGGCTACCCCGAAGATTGACAAGAGTGTTCAAGACCTACCTTTCCCATCGACCCTGAAGGGTGTTCAGTCGTTCTTGGGAAGCTTGAATTACTATAATAAGTTTATCGAGGATTTGCCTGTTGTCGCGGCTGTGCTTTACGAGTTGGATGAGGATCGCATTCTTGCCGGACATAATTTGGATAAAGCCAAGGAAGCGTTCGAGATTCTGAAACGTAAGATCACATCAACGCCGTTACTGCGCCATCCAGATTGTACCAAGCCGTTTGTCATCATTCCACATGCAAATCCCTGGGCGGCTTGTGCCGTCCTCGGACAGGAACATGAAGGGATTTGCCCTTCCGGGCGTTAATTCTCATCGTATTTCCTACTACGTAAGTATACAAATATCAAGTATAAATGCGACCTAGCTACGAGATCTAATAACGGTCGACGACCACTCGGCCAATCACTAAGCGAAACTTCCACTAAGTGCGAATCTCAGCCGGGTGTTTCAGCGGATATGTCGTGTACTCCACACCACTCCCGAATAGTGACCAATGGTCTCTATTGGGGGCCATGTCACTCTTTGATGGGCCGACGAGGACTCGTCATGAGTTGTAGTCCACTAAGTTCCGAATTGTGTGAGCTACTTATCGGGGACGGGACTTAACAGTAGCATCCGAAAGTTCCCGCCTTCATCCTCTTCGGTCTCAAGCTAAGAATCGCAACACCACACTTTAGTTGTGGCTTTCGCACTGAGACGCATGGGAAGGAGCTTAGCGTAAAACGGCGAGCGAAATCTAACACGTTTTTTCCGTATTCTCTTGAGCATCTTCAGACGATGTCGGAGCTTGGATGGAGACCATGAACGAGGCTTC